CAAAAAAAACCATCACCAGAACCCACACATTGCCTCCACATGACTTCTAGCTGTTAGAATTTATTTAAAAATAGTGTCTACTCGTCTTTCGTGTAAGATCTCGAATTTACAAACTCTCACAAAAACTCTCGCGGTCGGATGGGCGAAGGCATAGAACCGGCGCCAACAAAGACCTGGACCATTGTTTGATTTGCCTCCTGGCACCGAGCCGGTACGCATGGATGGCGTCGGCGGCGGATCAACCGACACGTCCTGGCAGCGTTATAGCGGCGTGCGCAGGACCAAGTTTATCCCTGAGCGCGACGGCCAGATGGTGCCCGCACCGGCTCCCGCCCCACTCCCGGCGGCGCCACGAGACTCGCGCGAACGGCTGGGAGGATATGAACGCGAGCTGGAGATTGAAATTGACCGGTCGCGCGACCGTCGTGGCTCGTCCCGTGCTCCGCCGAAACCCAAGCAGGATCAGATGTGGACGGAGATCACGAGAGATCTCGTCTGTCGTGAAGCCCTCATTGAGTGTGGCTATGACTTTGAGGAGACGGAGGACTTCTTCTATGTGATGCAGTACCTCAAATACGTGAGTGCGACGCACTGCCTCGGCTTGTCCTGGCTTGCCTTGGCTGTGACAGCCATGCTAACCCATCTCTGCAGGACAACGTACTAGAGCTCATCCAGTTGACCGAGACGATCCGCAGGCACCGCAAAGACCGTGCGCGGTGGGAGCATGAATGGCGGGAGCAGCAGCGATACGGAAAGCCGCGCAGCAAATATCTCGATGAGCGGGTGACGGAGCGGGAGTTTGTCTATGACAGCTCGCGGAATGCCATGCGAAGGGGATACTAGAGACACGTGCCACGACCAATTTTCTAGCCTGAGCAGGGGTTTTGAGATGGGATCTTATCTCATCTACGACGTAACGGCCGCATGTGATTGATGAGATGCTACGGCAACATAGCGACGGGGACGGTACAAACTATCATAGACTGAACTGGACTACTTTTTCTCCTGATGGCTCGTTTGTAAGCCAGAGCTGGCTGCGTCGAGTGATTTTCTCGTGATGATCTGCGTCTTCACTCGAAAGGGGAACATGTCATGACTAAGCCGAACGATGATCGACGACCTCCCCTCAACAATACGAGAAGAGGGGGGAGAAAGGCTCACTGCCATGCCACCGCTCCCGCTCGCGAGCACCGCACCATGGCCGAACTCGTAGGCCTCATCGCGTCGTCGCTCGCCCTCGCCGAGTTCGGCGCCCGCCTCTCCCTGCAGCTCTACACCCTCGGGCGCACCCTCGTGATGTGAGTGTCCAGGATGGATTC